GTCCTAAAAGTATGAAATTTCGAACAGACTTGAAATCTTGGTTTGAAAGAAAGAGATTGTCCTAAGAATTTAAAACGGCTGAGAAAGCTACTAGGGGGGACATTCTGAGCTTTCATATGGTTATTCACATGTCATATGTTGAAGTAAGTGTATATAAGAGACCATTTCCAAAAATGGAAATAGGTGAGCAGGGCCATTGTGTTTGCTTCATTACATGGGTGATATATCAGCAAAGAGGAAAGATAAGATGTTCTTATTTTATATTCTTGCTTGTCAGTATTGGTAATTTGAGGTCCTAATTCATACAAAACTATAGACTTAGTATTTTGACATCACAAACATCTAATTTGAACCAGTGCTGCATTTAACATACCATATGACATTCAAATATCAATGTTTAACTGTGTTTTTTTTAATATTTACTTTTAAATTAAGAAATTAAATAATGTATAATACTAAAATTTGAATTATAATCTACAGTTTGATACTAAACTTATTGACATAAATTCATGAAATAGTAGTTCAATAAAATTCTGAATATGAGTCAACAAACGTGATGACATGGCCATTGAACCCTGACCTGTCTGTAGAGGGTTAACTGATCCCTTTGGGGCTTTACAAAGGTATTCTGGCAGACTCTCCGCAGAGACACTTGGCCAAAACAAGATGGCACTTATACACGCCATCTTGTTTATAACCTTTCAAAGCAAGTTAAACTTATAAAAATCAGAAAACCATTCATATATACTTTTTAAAACAAACATAATACATAATTAACTAAAATATAAGAATAAGACCTAAATGCAATTTAACTGTCTCTCTAACTATAGTTAGTACAGTGTAAACTGAGCTCTTTCTAATGACTTGATCCACTTGTGTCAACTAATTACATGTACATCGTAGATCCCAAGGCAAAGTATAGAAGGTGGGCATGACAGCTGTCAAGGGTTGGAAAATCTATATCTGTGTCCTAGACAACCTAGCTTGCAGACTTTAGATCTCACACGTCAATTAGGTCAAACATATGTACATAGCATGTAGAAACTCCTGTACATTTCCAGCTTATGTGGTAAGAGAAAAATAGAGCTAAAGTCGAGATTTTTCAAAGCATGTGGATCATGTGACTTGAAAACTGCAGTTTAAATATTTTTGAAAGGTTTCCTTTTAAACAAAGTAATTGAAATTAGATAACATAAAAATTATAACTTACATTATAATGTTAATTGCATTTTCATATATTGATAGTAAAATGATTTAATTAAATTTTAAATGTAATGCAGTACCATACACAAAAAGGAATTTAAAAATGGCATCAAAAGCTAGAGGGTTAATCTTGGTTTGATTTATTTGACAAAAAGAAGTTAAGCATTTTTCTATGTCATATTATGAAAATTTATGCTCAGTTTTTGCACCTACACATTTTTTGCCATGGAGACTTATGCTCTGGAGCATTCACAGTATGGGTATGGCTGTACCTGAGTATTGGAGGGTGGAGTCTAACATAACCATTTAGCCATGTAGTATAAAAGTTTTGTCAATAAACAGTTTGGCAGAAATAAGAAAATAAAATTTGACTCACCATAACTCAGGAGGAAACTAGAATTTTTATTACTGAAGCTCAAGTGTACACAGTTTACTGCTATAATCCTCTGAAGTAAATTTTTTTAACTTGTGTTACCAATGCTACACACAAATTTTTTATTCGTTTTTTTTTTTAAATTTTAACAGCATAAAGATAGCTAAGTGCATTTTCTGTGATGACTGAATATGTGGATGAATAATTAAATGTTAATGAAAGACTATAGGTTTAAATGCTTCTCTGATTAATGGCTAATTAGAATATACTAGGGGTAACTAGATAATGTAATCATAAGCAAAAAAACATAAGTTAGGAAAGACTTAGGCTTAGTTAAGTTCCTAAGATAGACTGAGATAGATTGGTAAGATAAGTAAGTAGATGCAGTACATAAAAAGAATGTATAAATTAATAAATGCATATATTTTATATTTAACTTCTAATATGTTCTTAAGGTGGGGACTGTTTGGTGCAATACCTGGCTCATCCGAAACCTTCACATGCCATTTGGTGGGGTGAAAATGTCAGGAGTGGGTTTCGAAGGTTCTGATGCTTCACGAGAATTCTATACAGTAAAGAAAACCATATGTGTAAAAACATATTAGATACACCAGCAGCTACTGAAATAAGGTTTCTGACTGAAAGCTTCAGGAAAAATGATGACAGATTGTTCTTGTTTATTTGTTATGCAATAAGCTGGTGTGATAGGGAAGGGTGCATAATTTTAGCATAATTGAAAAAGTTTATTTTTATAATCTATACATGAATTAAATGTTCATTTACAAATGATATTGAATTATTGTTTACAGATGTACTGATATTAATGCAGTTTTATTTTGAAAGATATAGTTAACAATATTTTGTTGTCTATCAGAAAAATGAAATCCTTATTATTATAGTTTCATTTAGAGTACATATATGATATGATAGGTTAAGGTTTTAATGTTTAGTTTTTTACTTTTATAGAAACACTGCCAGCATCTTTATCAGTATTGAATTAAAACAATAATCTCAATGTATTGCTTAGGCTGTGTAGCACTCTCTTAGATATGTTAAACATCTCTATTTTATTTGTTGATCACTCTACTGGTACTTTATGAGAGTACATGTAGCTGTTTTCCATCAAAGTGCATTTTTCATCTGCTAATAAATACCTTTACGTAGAAATAGCTTAAATTTTAATTAACTTTTTTCTTAATTTTTTCAGTTTGAAGAGCTAATAATTTAGAGACATGGCATACTTTACTGTAGGGACATGGTTTTAATGTGTCTTAAGAAGACTTTATTATTTATCTCTTGCAATACATATTTTTTGTTAAAAATGAGTTGGAAACTTTGAATAACTTTAGTCATTGTATTTAATTAGTTATGCTTATAGGCTTATTGTATTAGCTCAAAGAAAAGCTGAAAAATAGGGAACAAACAATTGGCCCTCTGTTGTAAAACACAACATTAAGAAGTTGTTTATAAATATCCTTAATTTAGTTAATGAACAGATGTGTGTCTTAAATAATGATGTATATTCTACCAATATTTTGATATATATGTGAAACATGTTTCTCAAGCAGTTAGATGGTTGCAAAAATAAAAACTAAGTTTAAAGCTTATCTTATAATACTTTCTACAAAATATATTATTTTTAGTGACCAGTCCTTATTTGTTTAGGAGTATCTTAGCTTCCATTTAGCAGTGGTTATAATTCTGGGTTTCATAGCTTGTATGTGAATCAAGCAGGGCCCTAAATTTAACACAACAATTATGCTGCTGTGGCATTTTTGCTTAATTTACATATGACCACATAATTATTGGTTGACTGCATAATTAAAGTGACTTTCTAGACTTAGTAAGTCAAATCTAGGTCAATGTTACCAAATTTATAACTTTAACTTAATTATAATTTAGCCTGTTTCTTGGTTAGTGGTGCTTGCTTGCAAGACAGTCTGAATTTAATGGCCTGTTAAAAGACCTTTAAAGTGTTCTTGATGTTGTTATTTCATAAAAAATCAAAATTATAAGATGCTGATGTTGGTGGAATTATGTCTAAAATCCCTTTAAATGTTATTGTTTTAAGCTGTTTTTAATATATGTAAGGGTTGCATAATTTAAATTTTGAAACATAATTAATGCATAGTTTATATTTTTTTTCTGCATAATAAGCGATTGTATGATGCATAATTTCAAAATGTGAGCCATATAATTTTAATTTTTTTTTTACAATTAAAAATCGAACCCTGATCAAGGTAGTTCTTAAGAAGTAAACCTTTGGAAATGTCACCTCAATTTAAAATTGAAAATTGTTCCAAGTACTTTCAAATTTTATATTAGTTAATTTTTTATGAGTTTAATATTTGATTTTATTCTTTTATAAAGGTTATATGAATTTTATTCAAAATTTGAAAAAGGGTGTTTTATATCATGTTTTATGTTGTAAATATATATGTTTGTAAAATTAATACACAGCTTAAGATTTTCGCATGTCAATAACACTTAATAAAAACGTAAATAAATGCTTTATTAGACTTTAACTTACAAGTGCGAGAAGACCTTATTCATGGTTAACTACACTCTCGTAGAGTACTGTAGTGAAACAAAATTATAAAGATTGATATTGCATTATGTTTATTGCTCATGTTTTGCTCCAAGTACTTTCAAATTTTATATTAGTTAATTTTTTATGAGTTTAATATTTCATTTTATTCTTTTATAAAGGTTATATGAATTTTATTCAAAATTTGAAAAAGAGTGTTTTATATCATGTTTTATGTTGTAAAAATATACGTTTGTAAAATTTATTTTTCTACAATTAAAGGAAATAAACTGTATTAAAATGAAAAATATTGTATGGATGAACTGAACAATAAAAAAATAATACACTTTTTAATTTTGAGTTGTTAATAATTATAAGCAAAGTATGTATTTCCACCAGAGAGTGCTATACACACAAAAACTGCAGTAAGAACAGTTCATTTGAACATACTTAAAAAAAAGAACCTATGCTCAGTAGTAAAGAACTTAATTGATACTATATCAAAGTAAATGAAAACATTCATTTTCTGTGTTAATCTCAAACTAATTAAAAAGGGTTTGTAAGATTAACAAATATAAAAAAAAATGTAATAACAGAGATAAAAAATATAGGTCAATCCTCTATGTTTGCAATTTATGAAGTTTATTACAATATTTTTTATAGAAGAAAATCTACATATAACCTCATGAATACTGAATTACTAAGCTCACTATTACGTGGGATCTATGTAATTATCTTTGTAGGAATGCCGCAGCATCAGCACAGAAAGTTGAAGAATGAAGTGATTAGGATTTCAACTGAGATATTACATCATACAACGAAATACACTTCTTTTTTTTAAATTTCTAATTCCACAAGTTGTAAGCAGGTTAGGACAAATTATCTTAAGTCAAAGAATACTTATAAAGGAAATACTGTTCTGATTTTTCACTACTGTTTTTTCCCCTATAACTAGTGAATTTAGAAACATGCAAATGAAACATTCCTTAAGAGGGTAATTTCTAAAACAAAGGTCAATCAGGATGATATTAATCACAGTGTGAGGATACCTTTGCAATTATCATAATTGTATTAAGACTGCGATTAGCAAAATTTTAGAGGACTATCATTTCTAGGGTAAGTGTTCTGGCTGTCATTTTTTTGTTGGGGGTGTTTGTCAGAAAGTTTGCTTGTTTTTCCTTTGGTCTCTCACAACTCAGCACGTCTCTCCAGATTTGCATTTCTTTGTCCTGCCTGAAGTTCTAGTCAGTTTAATGCCATTCACTTCGTTTCATTCATTTCAACCTCAATTCATATAAACTTCAGTTATTTGCTTTAAGTTTTGTTTAGTCAGTTTCATTTCACTTATAATTGGATCATTTTATATAGTGTCAGATGTGATTTGCCCTTATGGAATGTGAAGTGGCAGAAGGGCATGAATAAAGATTATTAATTGTTTATGAAATTAATTTATCTCTTATCATGTCCATTTGTTTTCATAGTAACATTCCATTCACCAAATATTTGATTTTTTTTTATCTGGAGTAGTGTTACCTATGTGCTAAATACTCCTTATTTTTGAATACCACAGAATTTCTGATGGCACAGTGCCATGGTCTGATTTAAAATGGAATGATGTGAGACAAGTTAACTCCACAGATTTATTTCCACTTAGTCCTTTAAAAACCATCTTCTGGTTATAGAGAGAAAAAAGACAGATAAAAATCCAACGTATGTTAGACTTGTTGGGTAGTACCTGGAAAAAAACTTTCCAGGAATTAGAGGTTTGGCAGCCCTATAAGAAGCCTTGCAGGGCATAACAAACTGGTCACTTTCTAATGCTCCAGCATCATTAACAGTGGTTTAGGCTGTCTGTCATTCTTGGAAGCACAACATTGCTGGGGATCCCTCCATTGGAGTTGAATGGAGAGACTTCTGGTGAGTACACTGATTGTTACATGAGCCCCAGTCATGAGACTAGACTTGCCGCCACATGATGAACAACCACAGGGTGACATATATATGGCACGAGCTGTTTGGCAGAGAAGCCAGTGGTAAGTAGACTGTTAATGTTTAGCACACACTGTTTGCAAAGAGATGGGATGTCTCTATTCTTGCTACAATAATCTTACTGCAAGGAGGAAGAACTCAAAAAGCTTCCAGTGGAATATCAAGAAGGCCTTGAACCATTACACCAAGTGCTTAAAATACTGACAAAGCCAAAGTAAAACCCATGCTATCTGTCAAGTCAAATTAATACCAAGACTGCATCTGATGAATGTGCCAAACAACCATCAGCCTGTTATAGCTGAGACTGACTAACACACCAGCTAGGACAGCCATTTGTAGAAGGACAGGAGTTGAAAGGAGATTTCATTCTATACTAATTGAGCAATCAGGTAAACATTTTGGTGATTATTATTATTAAGGGGGATCATGTGAGAATTAATTGGAGTCCATGTTTGAAGATGTGTAGTTGTCTGTGTAGATGTGTGGTATGCAAATACCAAATATTTTACTTTCCTGTAGTGCATACTTCATATCTACATAATTTTAGATTTTTATTCTTAGTTCTAATTTTGAACTCCTAAAGCTGGTCAAGAACATTCAGGCTAAGGTATTACTTTTTGTCTTCTCTTTCATTGGATAATTGTATTGCATCCTGTTTTACCTGCTATATGTTTGTCAGGTAATGCAGAGATACTTTAAAGTTCTTGTGATTCAATTTTTGATCGGTCAGAGTCAGAGAAAAGGTGAAATGCAAACTTAGTTTGGGGTTTTCAGACAGATTCGTTTTTCTGTCATGAAAGAATTAAGAAGTGCTGTTGGAGTTTCATTTGTTGTTTTAACTTTTTATCTTTTTCCGTTTGTCTGAATAATCTTTAATTAAATTTGTGTGCAGTTTAATTTTATTTTATTTAAATACAAGTTTTTTTCCATTTTTATCTTAATAGTTTAAGCTATTCTTCAATCACTTTGCATAACAAAACAGTAGTCTACCCACTAGTACAATTAGCGTTTTACGTTACTTCATCAATAAAGTGTTTTATTTTTAACATCAACACACTGTCTCGTCTCTTTTTACTCCACCACTACAAATTTCTACAACTGTTCTTCCACAGACCAAAACCTTGAATCTCTAGAGCTGGAGATCAGGTAATTGGATGGTTAGATTCCTTGGTTTATCATAGACGTCATTGTGGTATTCAAAGAACGTTAATATACAAGTAGACAAATGTTTATTTTCTGCAAAATGTTGATTTAGGGTTGTTAAAGTAAATAATAAATCGAAC